GTGTAGACGCCCTTTCTCACCAAGGAAATCTTGCTGCTCGGATGTTGAACTTCCGGCAGAAACTTAAGAAACGGTCTCACCAGATGCAGCACTCTAAATCCTCCTCCCATCTTAACCAACCGAAACTAAACAAACCAGCCTTATTATCAGAGAATTGTATATATATACACACATATATATATATATATATATATATATATTCCATCAACATATCCAAAGTATTTAATGCACATAAAAATCGTAAGTCTAATTCCAAGAGAAAGCTGAGTTCAAATAGTAATTTATAGTAGGCATGTTACAAAGGATTTTCAGATTTTCTGTTAAATTTCTTATCTAATTTCCTGTCCAACAAACATACTTATATAACATCATTTAAAACAAAAAATTAGGCAGCCAAATTAAAATAACTTCACTATTGTAGGACATGCTTTTCTCAATTTTGACCTTACTCTAAATAATTCAAAATTATGTCCTACCAATACTAATATTTCAGTATGCTAGTTTTACAACATAGTTCTCCCGTAACTTTTCCATAACGCTTTAAGATTTTGATCGAGGATTTGAGTTCTTTATTTACATTCACACTCTTTTATTTCTCTCCCAACCAATTCACATTAATGATCATAAACATGCATATTATATGTACACACACATATACATATACATATATATATATATATATATTGCACTGCATATACAAGCATGCAAATATGAGCTACGATCGAAAGAAACAAAAACCAGCAAGAATTCTAGAGATTAATTGAACATCAGAACAAAACTGAGCACCGAGAAACGTAAAACTCCACACAAAACACATGCGAAGAAAATCAATCAAGAGTAAAACCCGAAATACAAAGCCATGCATGAATATTGAATGCAGAAAAATAAATCAAGAGAAACGAAAAAGAAAATTCCTAAACAACATTCTTAATTCAGCTAGAAAATTTTCGCCCATAGAGACATACATAGAGCGGAGAGGAGAAGCTGCGAAGACTTGCTCAGACTGAAACTGGAGTTCGGAAAAGAGGAGAAGACTGGCTATATATTGTAATTATTAGATAACAATGATGGCACAAGTTTTTCATTAATGATAATGTGTTATATATAGAGAGTTTGAGGAGTTTGAATTAGAATCTAATTCTAATATATAATCTCTTTGAAGTCGAATCTAATCTAATACTAATTAATCTCTAAATATTAAGCAACAAACGACATTAATAATAATAATAAGATGAATTCAAACTATTAAACTAAACTAAATCACCTTTTAAAAAAAAGTAAAATAAATCAATTATCACGTGGATCCCAAACAAACGCCACGTGGTTGAAAAATCTGATACAGTTGGCGGCGCTTTTATGTGTGTGTGGCGAACCGGATTGGGGCCGCAATTGCTTCTAATTTTTAATTTTTAGTTTTTTAATTTTTTCCACGACTTTTTGCCAATTAATGCTTGATGCGTGTAAACGTTCACCCTGACGTAGCAGCTGATATCTATCGTTTTTTTTTTCCTTTTGAAAAGATATACAATATTGTTTTTTATTTTATGGTTTTATGGAGATTTCTGAAAATCGAATTATAATAAAAAACGTACAACTGATATAGTTTAATCAATATATATTCTATTTAATATTTTTTTTATGGTTTTATGGAGATTTTTGAAAATCGAATTATAATAAAAAAAATGTAAAACTGATATAGTTTAATCAATATATATTATATTTTTTATATTTTTATTTGTTTATTTCAACGTCAATTGAAGTGATAAACATGTTAGGATAAAATCTTAATTGAAATTTCATTTCACTCTTTAAAGCATAATATCTAAAAAATTATGAATTTATATAATAGTGTAATTGATTTTTTTATTTGGGATTTTAAATTTCAGCAACAAGTATGCTTAAAAGTCTAATTTTAAGGTACGGTTTAAACTTTTTTAATAAATTATAAAATATGATTAAAACTTAAAAGATAAAATTTAAAGGATAATAGAAACTTTTTAGAAAAAAATATGCGCACAAAATGCAGTTAAAAGAGGGCAAATCAAAACCAAAATTAGAAGAATATTTTTTTTGGGCTAAAATTTCAAAGGTGGCTAAGGTGGCTCCCCCCCTGTGAGTAAATATGCATTTGAATCATACTCGGTGTATGTATAACTTCTTAATAATACAAACATCAGAATTTACTTGTGCCGCTCTTCACTAGTCTTCATAATCATTGCAATTACTTCTTTTTTGTTCTTTTATTTAATGGATTAAACACTGAAAATAGAACTGGACTTATCTTAAAACCAAAAACTGCTGTGCTAAAGACCACAAGAAAAATGCTAAACTAAACAATAGTAATTTAACAGGGGACTATAAATTTATTCGGGCATATACTTTCGGGAATAAAGAGAATAATTTAAAGCAGGATCTTTTCTGAGATATCAACACAGAAGCTGAAGGTGTCACAAAATAAATTCGTGTAATTTGGTTAATCATATTCTGTAGATTTTTTTTTTTTTTTTTAAACTTTAAAAAGTTGGTATAATTTTCAGCCTGCCCCTAAAAATGAGGCATGATGTTGGCAAATTCTGCAATTTCGTCCTCTAGACAAACGTCTTTACAACTGATGAGCATACTCACTAACACAACATGAAAAGCTATAATCACAAAGTGAACAATCGCATTAGTCTAAATGTAAGAAGGTGCCAATTGAGATAGACAAAAAACCTAAACCTTTCCCCCTCGATTAATACAGTTCGGGGTCGCTGTATCAAGTGAAAGCTCTCAGTGGTGTATCCCCTTCTTGTATCCTGTTACAAATCAGGCTGTGAAAAAAACCCTTAGCTAGAATCAATCCCTCTTTGGATCAGGCAGGCAGCTTAAGCTTTGCATTGTTTTTCCAGCTGCGAAACGAACAACTTAACGTCAGTATACCACAGGAACTACGCATGAGAAGAATGACTGACCATAAGGTGCAGATGTTATTACCTTATAAAATAGTAATAGAAGAAATCTGCATATAAAGCTGTCTGAACCAGACCAGAGATGCAAGCTGCATAGTTCGGAAGAAGGGTGTCGGATAAGCATACAGAAAACAACAGAGACCAAAAGTGGGGGGAAACGAAAGAGGAAACTATTCTCAATAGTTTGTTCCTACCTATCCATCGAGTGAAACGTGCTTCAGTCAGGTAGCGATAAATCCAGTTGAGGATGTAGAATGCACGATAGGCTCTGCAGATTAAAAAATGGAGATATATTACTTGTATTCAACAAGGTGAATGATATGAATTTGTTCACTTAACTGAAAACACTAATAGATGATCTAGGAAAATGTTCACTATAATTGAATTTGTTCTATCTTCCCCATTATGCACAGAAGCTAGCTAGTGCAATTTCAAACGGGAATAGTAGTTTCTTTCAGACATACAGTTGCATCCAAAAGTCGCTACATCTTAAAGGTTCCAGATTTCTTATCAATGAAAAACCTGATCTTGTGTTGAATGAGAACTCGTGTTTTCTCATGCCATTAACATTCTACGTTTTCGAAAACACCAACAAGCAAGCCTGTCTTGGTGCATTAGCAACTCAGAATAGCAATGTTAACAAATAGATTTTTGAGTATTGAGGTTAAAAATGGACACACTAAAAAGTAAAATCCAAGAACACGTTGCAGAAATTTAGGAGATAATTATGGTTGTCTAAATTTCTATTATTATGAAAAGCATGATGGCCAAGAAAAAGCTCTTACAAGACAGACAATTTAATTGACTGATATTGCACATACTAGATGAAAAATAATACTTCAGCAAGTTAACCAAACGAAAGGAAAAATTCTGGAGTAAATAAGTTATACTTGAAACAAAAATACATACCCAAGAAACAACACATATTGCCCTGTCAAATTGTCCACATTCCCACTTCGTTGCAACAAAACTAGCTGAGGAATAATGGCAACTGCCTCCAAGTATATTGAAAATGCCCAGAGGACCTATAAAAGGTTTGAATCCAAATTAGAAGCATGGTAATTTTCTCCCTAAGTATGCACAGAGAACAAGCAGAGTATAGAAGTATAGAATGCACAATACCGACTTTCGGGAAATCAGAAGCAGTGGAAATAATATAGTATGAGGGAAATCTCAATACATAAAACTTATACCAAAATCCCTAAACAGACAATTTTTGATGAAATTCTTATACTAATAAATAGAGAGAAAGCTAAAGATCCAAACTATGAACAACTCATGAGATGTGTCAAGAAATCCTCTTAAAATATTAGTATTCTCTTTAATTACTAAATGCTTATGTCCACGGGAGGAAACGAGCTCAAACCAATATGAAGTAACTTTCCCTAATAATTGCAAATACTTTTGCTTGCCCAGACAAATTTTTAACTTAAAAGACACGCAGTTTAACCAAGCACAGAATAATAAACCGCAAAGCAACACAAACGGTAATAAGCAAAAGAACTCATTAGACCAAGCACAATTAATGACATCAAAGAACGTATTATTCACACAAAAGAAATCCATCTCAGAATGCCACAATTAGTATTGAACATGTCATGGCTAAACTTGAGTAATTAACCTCTTGAACAGTGAACTTCTCATGAAGAAGAAGCGCCAAAACAAAGCATCCCAGAACAAGAAAGTAATGGCGAAATGTGTCGATCTCTTTGTCGTAGGTTCGCCTCACAGCAGGGTCACCTCTCATGCACCAGACGATCGCCAGAGAGCTCGTTATGAACACAAGCTTCATCAAAGTGTTGTACAAGGATATGAAGTCCGTGAACAAATCCAAATAGCGAGTCAGAAAAACCAGCGCGTACAGCTCCTGAGTCTTGAGCGAAATCCCTTTACAACAACAATAGAAAACCCAAACCACAGGTTTAATTAATTCCCAAAATGTTCTGTTTGTTTGCCGAGAAAATACAAGGGAAAACGCCTTAAAATTTCGAGGCTCTCAATATTTCTTTTTCTTTTGCCTGAATCCCTAGTGTTCCATTTCGCAACTGAAGTGAGAAAGGACAAATTGAAAATGGGAAGACTAATTTGAGAAACCTCGGTTAATTCAAACAAAAACCTAATTTAATTTGACCCTCTCTCTGGTGCATTAAGAGAGAAAAAGAGCAAAAATGAGAATGAAATAATCAGTGAATTTCGCGCCTTTTTTCTCGGGAAACAAACAAGAAGCGAGGATGGTTAGTTACCTGAGCATGATTTGGTGGCGTAGATTTTGAGTAGAAGAACCAGAATACTGATCAAGTGGGTCATATCCCCAGCAAACCTGAAGATATTCATGGCTCTGTGATAGTGAAATGGACAAACTTCTAGAGAGAGAGAGAGAGAGAATCAATGGAAGGAAACGCAGCGGAAAATCAACTGAATACGGCGGTGAGTGTGTTGAGGGATTTCGGGAAGGTTGCGAAGAAGGAAAGCAGGGGAGCTGACGTGGCAGCTGAAAACGGTCACTTGCTTCCACAGATGGTCTTTTCTCTGACTTTCTCAATCGCCCAACTATACCACGTGGATACTCCACACACTAATAAATTTGGACAATTTAGATTATGAATTAATTAATTGTAAGACAATGACAATCCCTTGAATAATTGAATAGGTTTTCTTTAGAAATTCATTTTTTCTGCACTGCCCGACTATGAACTACAGTTTGTTTATTTCGAGATTGCACATTTCAGTGTTAAAGAAATAAAATTATTCACCTGTTAATTTATCATATAATGAGTTGTTACATAACATTAAAACTCAAGAGAAAGACAAGAAGCACCCTATTCTAACATGAAGAGGACATAATTAGAAAGACAAAACTCAAAAGAAAAAAAAAAGAAAAAAGAACTTATTAGTTGCTACCTTTGTTTTATTTTTTGTTTCATTATTTTTGTGATGTTTTTAAATTCTTATAGCAGTATAAAAGCAAGCTCTAGACTTAAAGGGTGTAAAAAATGACTCTGAACCAGCATTACTCGGCCTACGAGACCCTACCATACCTGAAAATACGGATGCGTTTGGAATTGGTTCCAAAACGTTTTTGTTTTTTGTATGAAAATGAAAATGAAAACGTTTTTATTTTCATTTTGGAATCATTTCTGAAAATGCGTTTGGTAGTTTTATTCTGAGATTATTTTCAGTTTAAAAAAACTGAAATTGTGTTTGGTGGTTTAATTTTTAAAAATATGTAATAATATTTAAATTAATAATATATTAAATAAATAATAACCCTTAGTTAATAATTATATAAAAAATTACCCTTAGTTAATACAGTCTAAACCCTAATTTATTGTCACTCTCAATCCGCTTCTCTCTCTCATCTCATCTCGTCGCTCTCTCTCTACCCTCCCTATCTTCGTCCCACTTTCTCTGGTTTCCTCTCTCTCCGCCGTGTCATGGCTAAAGAAGGCACGCGATCTGACTAGATATCTGGGTAGATCTGATGCCGTTCATCTCGCTCGTCTCAGATTGAGGACGCTGTGGAGAGCCGGTGCCATTAGTGGATCTCGCCGAGTTCGAGATCCGTGAGGATCGACGTTCAATCCTTCACCGGCGTCAACCGTAGATTCTGCGAGATCTCCCTCCTCTCTTCTCTTTCCGCCCCCTTTCTCTACTGTCGCCATGTCTGGACAAGATGTTGTCGCTATGACGGACGCAATCATCGTCATTGTTCGCTTCGTCACCATGAGATCGCGGCGGATCCAAGATCTCATATCCTAGCTCATGTGTGTTCTCTCTTGTTCGTCCCTCGCCGCCATGGATGCAGCTCCGCGTCTAGTTCTGGTTCCATGCGGTGAGAGCATCGGATTTGGGTTTACTAGATTTTTCCTTGAGTCAAACAAAGTCATGCGTGTTCTAGGTCGATCTGTTGCCGATGAGATCAAATCTGGCCTTTACAGTCTCAGAAGTTTGAAAATGAAAACGGAAAAAATTTGTTTTCAGAAAGATGAGAAAAAAAGAGAAAATGAAAACGGGTGTTTTCAGTTTTGATTTTAAAAAATTTTACACCAAACGTGTTTTCTTATGCGTTTTCATTTTTTTTTCTCAAAAATTGTGAAAAATAAAAACGAGACCGGAAACAAACAAGCCCGTAGTGTTTTTTTTTTTCCGGTTCCAAATTAGCCTAACCCACATTGTGTGAGTAGGGTTGCGGGCGGTCTCTTTTTGACCCGAGCATACCCTACCCGGCCGAAAGGTAGAGATAAAATGTTAAAAAAAAGTGTGCCTCTCAGGAGCGATTCTCTATCTGGCGTCTTCTCCGCAGAAAAGACTACCCTCTCCTTGCATTCCGAGGTCAACCGCCGCAGAGGAAGTGGAATCCGGAGGGCGCTGTCGGAGAGCGACGTGATCCTCTCGGAGACTCAACTTTCGGGCGGATTCCGCTCCTTTCCGGCGAGGATGCCTGAGGAGGTGTTCCTTCCCGGCGGCGATAGAGCGGCGAGCTTCGCCAACTCTTGCCAAGAGATCGAGATTCCTTTGGAGGAATTAGGAAACTCCGGCGGCGGTTTCAGCAAGGGCGACAGCGGCGGCGACGATGACGGTTTCGGCAATTCCGGCGGCGGAAACAACGATCAGAGCAAGCTCGGCGCGTTCTACGAGGAGATGTTGAAGGCGAACCCCGGCGATGCGCTTCTCCTCAGAAACTACAACAAGTACTTGCACGAGGTTAGTACTGATCCATTCATGCAGATCGTTGAGAAATAGAAGTGATCATTTATGCAAGGGGAAAAAGAAAGGCTTACCAAGATACCAGATGCAATTCAAATTTGCCATACAATAGGGGACACAGTCAAACGTCCAGGCCCAGCCCGCAAAACTGAGCCTACCCGAGGTAACCCTACGGGTTTGTGAGCTAAATACAGCAATGCGGCCCAAATTTCCCTCACCCAAAATGTAGCGGCTCGGCCCAAATTTTAGGCCCAACCCGAGCCTACATGGCCTACTTACACCCCTATCTAGACTTCATAATAGGTATTGAAGGGGTTCTTTTGTTGATTTAAAGCCCCAATTGATTTGGGCTTTCCCAAAGTCTATTCAAGTTAATGTTGTGTCTACAAAATCACTAAGGGAATTTCAGCATACGAATCATATATAAGCCTCATTCTCATATCAATAGAGCTTAGTATTTGAGGCTATTAAGTTATATATATATATATATATATATATATATAGGGAAGAAATCACGTAACTTAGGGGATTCTTATTTGTACAAATGGTATTTTGAATTTGAAATGAGCATGAAGAAATTAACGATACTTCTTTTTGTTCTTTCGAATCGATCACTCAAGACCTTTGGTCTCTGAACTCGATGAAAAAATGGAATCACTTCTTATGGACTCGTTAAGAATGATTTTTGATCTAGTTCATGGCCTATTCGAAGTAGAAGATACTCTGATGGGATCCTCGCTGACAGAAAAAAAAATTACAACCAGTTTGATAATGATCGACCAAATTAAGCCAACAAAGCTAAGCTTAGTTTGATAATGATCGACCAAATTAAGCCAACAAAGCTAAGCTTCTGAAGTAATAAGATGTGCATTACCTAAAGATGTGTGGCACTGCTTTTTCAAAACATTGCATATAGTTGAGTAAAGTAAAAATAGCATTGCATATAGTTGAGTAAACTAAAAAGTGTCTTTATCGTTCTTATATAGTCATAAAATGTTTCTTTATCGTTTGTATGTATATCGATATGTTAAATATTAGAAGGTTTCGAAGAAAAAGTAGTAATCATAAAGTATGAGGTTAGGAAGAAACTCACAGTTCCTTATATGCAGTGGTTGAGGCAAGACATTCTACTTTATTTGATGTGGGATTGTTGTACGTTTGCTTATAGGAAGTTGTAACGCATGTAAGATCACATTAAATATTTTTAATATTAAAATAAATAACACAATGGTAATTAGTATGTGGTGATAAGTGGCACTGCACTATTGTCAGATTATGGATTCAAGTTTCCAATCGCACGAAATCTCTCCAATTTTCCAGAAAAGGGTTTAGCAACAACCTGAGGGTAGTGGCATTATAACTGTAATGTAGAGAAGTGCAGTTATTGTAAATAGTTCACAGACTATAAATTAATTCCCATCTTCACATTGCTACTAGCGCTTCAAGTTTTTATCTCAAATAGATTATTTTTGTCTGTGTCTATATCTGATAACCCAATTTCCCTTGCAAATTTGATTCTTTTCCCAGTAAATTTGGGTGCTAGATTGCAAGTATTTCAAACAATTAGCTAAAAGCCTCGTCTGGTTAATAAAATGATGAACTTCCTCAAGTTGGACTAACGGATCCACAGCCCGGAAATACTGTCCTTGGGCCCTGCATCTCTGAATTGAGGTTTATAGAATAAATAAGAGTAATATTGTGCATGAATTAAGATTTTTACTTTTTTTTTTTTCTTAATTCATAACTTTTTTAGTTAAATAATTATACTAATAAAAAGATATTTATTAAGAGTAAAGAACGTAACATGGGTTGGTTTTTTAATCATTCCTTGTAATATGGGAAAAAAAAAACACAAAACAAAATAAAAAACCAAACGTCTCCAAGTCTACATTATCCAAAACATTTTTTCTTACTGGTTTATCCAAAACATTGTCCTTTTGTAATTTTCTTTCTCTGTGGTTTCGACTAACTTTAATTATATGTGTGTATCTAATTGGCCAAGCTGTAATAACTTGATGAAATGCTCTCCCAAAACAATAAAAGTTTATACGAATAATCTTGATAAATACTCTTTAAAAATGTATGAGTCAGAATTTTTATTCTTTATTCTTAATTCATAACTTTTTTAATTAAATAATTATACTAAAAAAAAGTATTTATCAAAATAAAGAGATAAGGTCTAGATTTATATTCTCAAACATAAATTCTTATTTTTTCTCACTAATATAATGACTATACACATTGGTCAAAGTCTAGACAAGCCCAGACGATCCAAAGCCCTTGTCCTTTTTTTTTTTTTTTTTTGAAACGAGTGAAGTTCTTGTACGCTGAGTACTACAATGAGTGTCTCGAAGGATTCACAGGGACAATATGTGAAGTGCATCTATTTTGGCAATCGAACAAGACGATATTCTATTGTTGACTTGTCATTTTTTCACTAGTAAATGGCATTGAATTGAAAAATGACACGCCAATAATTAGCTTATTCGGTTTGCCAAATTTTAGCATAAAACTTGACTCAAATTATTACTGTATAGAGGGATTACTGACATAGCCAAACAATAATACCATATCTCACTCCACGATTAGTGTAGAGTTTAAATCCTTAAAATCTTATGGTTTAAAAAAAAAAAAAAAACAAAAGTTATTACTATATAAACTATAGCTATGTCATATAAACAGAATGCAACCTGATTAATTACTGAAGACCTTAAAATTTCGACACATGCAGTACATGCATGGTAGGATTATTATGTGAGAATTCACGAGATTAGTCCATGTTACAAGGGATTGCGATGAGACGTCACAGGTTATAACCTTAAAAAGA